ATGTTTGTAGGGAGACGAATATCTTTTTTTCAATTCAGTTCAATAGTTTATTGCTCATTTATAGTTATATAGTAACGTGAAGGCAAATAACAAAACAACAAATATACAAAGAAACTGCAAAAATGAACAATATATAAACTTACACAGAAGGAAGACCCCCAGTTCTCAGTTCAAGTGACTGTTTTATGTATAAGCACGAGTCAAATATAAGCTGCATATTGTCAGAAAATAAAATATGCGATATAGTATTTGTGTATAGTATACATGTTTTGAATATATTTACTTAAATAGCCCTTTCTTAGCTGTGCATTATAGCCAAACCTGAAGAAGAAATGTTCTTCATCTTCTAGAACAAGACAACTTTAACATACTCTTTGCTCTCTAGTGTTTTTTCTTGATCTTTCTATTGCTAGTTCAAGGTTATGCTCACACAATCTAAATTTCGAATGCAACATAATTTACTTGTATCCGTCATCGATTGTAGTTTTCTGAAAACTCTGGTTTCAAACTCTAGAGCCTGCTTACAGAACGTAAGATGAATTTGTTCCATGGATGACTTGTCAATGATTTCAAAGTGATCAAATTTTGGTTATTTGTTTTGTGCTTTCATTTTAGCAATAATTTGTTTTTGATATATATCCATGTAACAAATTTCAGCATTATAGGTTGAAATTGGTTTGACAAGGGCAGAGAAAAGTCTACATTGTGCAGCAATTAGGAACAAAATATTTTTTTCAGATTTTTTTCTTAATTGAAAAAAGTACTTTCAAACCATAATTTGATCATTCCTTCATGGATATTATGAACTTGCCTGCAAAGTTAATAATATTACCCAAACATATTTGTATTCCTTAGTGGTATTAATCATGTTAACTCCCTGGAAAATCTAGCTTTTGTTAGTTTATGTTAATAGAAAGTTTCCAGTTGTTACACTATTCATATAGTTTGTCTAGTGAAGCGTGCAGACCTTATGCCCAGACGCCGCGATGTGAAACATGTACGCTATTATCAATGTCGGTAGGCAGCCCTTTCTGTGTCTCTCATACGTCTGGCAAGTCGTTTTGTGTCTATGGTAGATGCACATTGACCTAAATAGCATAATAACCTGATATTGTCTTTAACCTTGCATTGCAGAAACATCAATGGTGTGATCACACCGAAGGGAAGATGACAGCAGAGAGCAATGCCTACACAAAGACGTGTAACGTTGCAATGTCTTCCATTGGCTTTACTTTGCAAATTTTTGTTATGGTTCCTTCTATCCGGACAACGCGACAAGTCACATAACGCTTGATTGACTTTTGACTCTGGTATAAGTGTACGGTGACCGATATATTTATCTTGTTTTATTATATACCGGTATACAGTAAACTTGTATTTCGTTTTCTTCCTTACTTATAATATATCAACAGTAATATTTCCACGCTATTTTGTTCAACATACAGCAGGAACTATTTTGCTGCCAAGTCACATACAGCGATTAAGTACACATTATTAAAAACACAAGCATTCAGTAGTACTCAAACATATAGTTGTAGGTGAGTGTACCCAAAATTGGAAAATTTTAATATATATGATGCAGCATATTGCATTTTGCAATAAATATTAATGGTATATATTTTGAATCAAGATTTATTTAGTTTAATGCATTCTGAGCAAACTGAATCTGCTTGCCTATTAAACATTGCTCATAAACTCAATTGAAATATAAAAAAAAACCTGAAATGAAATTTTTTCCCCGGAACGGTACGGTGCGACAACATCAATATGGTATCATATCTCTAAACGTGGAAAAGTCTATGTTCAAACAAATATTTTGAGAAAAAATGACTACTTTTTGTCAGAATTTGTCAAAACTTTTCTGACTCACTTTAATGAGCTCTATAAATAGACACACGTGCTGTTTATACCCGAGAAATAGTTACAATTAAAGCTAAAGGCATGCATTGTTTCATTTCATTAAACAATTTGGTCTTTCAGAAACTTTATAGGAAATATTAATATTTTTCTCAAAATCTGTTTCATTTTGGGTTTCCTCAACCTATATAAGGCTTTTCAACACACATGTTTTGAGAGATGAAATACCGCTAGAGATGGGAGGGGGATATAATAATACCATTTTGTATCTTTTATATGTCAAAGTGATCTATTTAATTCGCACTTAAACGATAGTCCTGCCTGTATGGTGTGGTTATCCTATTGAAGACTGTGATCATTTCGTCTTCCATTTTTTTTTTATTAACCAGCTAAGGAATTTTAAGAAAATGTCCATCGATGGGTAAAACCCGGGGACCCGCTCACAAATGCATCAACGGCAAGCGTTGTCGGTATTATAGCTGGATGGGTTACCGCCGTACGTTACAGATATTAGACTATAAAAGGTAGACCGAAAGGAAATGTCACTTTATTAATAAAAATAGGTAAATACAGAAAGCGATTCTCAGTTCATTAGAAATTCTGGACTTCATCGCATTCTCCAAAAAATATGTATACATGTGTCTCTTTCTATGTTACAGAAATTATAGTTTTGGGGACTATTTGCAAGCATAAGATTTGTTTCCGTGCTAAAGTTTCTAAATTTAAATCAGAGAAAACTTTATTTCATTTGGTTCTACCAGTTAAAATACTATAGCTTGTCACAAATACAGAGACCCTCTTTAGTATCGTGAAAAAATGATCTTCACTTTATTTCATTTGGTTCTACCAGTTAAAATACTGTAGTTTGTCACAAATACAGAGACCCTCTATAGTATAGTTTTTATCTATAGGAAACACTTTTTCGCCATTTGGTTAACTAAGTCGAAAAGGTGATCATTTAAGAACAAAAATATTCCCCAAAAATATGTATACATGTGTCTCTTTCTCGTTACCGAAATTATAGTTCTGGGGACTATTTGCAAGCATAAGCTTTTTGTCCGTGCTAAAGTTTCTAAATTTAAATCAGAGAAAGCTTTATTTCCTTTGGTTCTACTACATATACCAATTATATATAAACAAATAACCAAATAGAAACATACATTATATGAAACATAAATACTGATCTACTGTGTTACACATATTTATAGATATATATATAACCCTGGGAGGATAAGAAATCATCAAATCCGCAGATTATCAGTATATACTTACAACTGAATAAAGGAAATCAATGTTTAAGAACGTTTCACATCAGACAATAAGACTGTATCATTTTAAACTATTTGAAATATGTAAAACTAGTTTACAAAGGCACATATTATCTTTTGATTTAAATTCTAATTCATGTATTATGCATTTGATTTCGTTTGGGTCAAGCTATTATTTTTCAAATATATACAATATCAACAAGGTTCTACACAGTCTGATAATTTAAACTGTACAAATTTGTAAAACACCTTTTTATTTTATTGAATGATTGGAATTTATGAAGGCTATCAATTCTAATCGTTTCCTAAATTTCTCTACTAAAGAAAGTAATAAAGCAAACTTTATGAAAATCTTACCTTCAGTGTTGACATCTTTTCCCGAGGTAACTGTTCAAATTAGATTATGCCTCCTTTTATAAATACAAAAAACAAGAGAGTGCAGCCATTAGTTAATTAAAGTTTACACATGCGCAAAACGTTTGCTGTCAATGATTGGACATTAAGGAACAACGTCATTACCTGGTTAATCCTGTTAATGCCAGTTTCCACGACCTCTCATTATGTTCGGACGTGCACATGCGCACATGTTATGATTACGTGAACCATTGTTTGTAGCACAGGATAACTTCCTGGTACATATAAGTATCCTTACTCATTAGTGAGTGACAGTATAGTATACACCTACACAGAGCTACTTCATTGTATACACTTGGACACAGACACAGTCTGCAAAGATGTAAGTATACAAGCTTTGTTACAATGATTGTTCCTTTTAATAGAAGTACATATACATTTATGTTCTGTGTAAATTTTCATTGATTACGAACGTATATAAAATATATAAATCACTCTTGCACTATTTTGATTGATCAGGTGAAAATGTAAATGTATAGATGTCGACTAGATAGTTTGCAATCTCGGGGATATCTAGATTTTGACCGATATATCTTTTTCATTTTTGTCAGCCCTATCAAAAATATGGTTAAACCTAAATCTACTTCACAAACAGCGAGTTCTTTCTATAACTCCAACAGACACTAAAATATACTATGTGAACTACAAACAGCAAATCCTTTTACTTAGTGAAGCAAATTGTAATTAAAGAACTAATCAAAATTACGTACAGGGTGTTTTTTTATTTTGCTGATTGACGATATTTCGTACAGCGATGTAGCGGCCATACAATGTACGTCGGTTAAAGGTTCCCTATATATGTACGTATCGATCGTGGTACAGACTGATGCAGACGTACACAGGACTGGCTGACAATTACAAGAAGTTTATATATGCATGTAGCTGTATAACAAAGCAATTCCTTGTAAACAGCGCATGCGTGCATCATGCTGGAATTATTTAAGAATACCTGTCCCAGTGCAGACAAAACACTGAAGATACCACTGTAGGTTTTTTGTACAAACATGCAGTAACTGCCCCCTTAATTTGCAGTTGGGCAAAACTATTTCTGTTCACAAGGTGCCTTAGTTGGTAGGAGTGTCAGTATAAGATCTAAGGATCAGGGTTCAAATTGAAGTCTAGCCAAGCTGAATTTTTCACACAAAACACTGTTATTGATAATATTGTCATTTCATCTTTGTTATATTAGCATAACAGTGCTGCAAGGTATGGCTTTTCTTTTGAGAAATGATTTGTAAAAACTACAACAATGTCGGGGAAAAATAGTTTCAAATGCAGAAACAAACCTTTCGGCATTGGTACAGAGATACTTAATAAAAATGTAAGTTTTATTCAGCTACGTGTATATCCATTTAAAAAAGCACATATACATTTATTAAATCAATGAGCTAAAAGCTAAAATCATTTCGTTGTGCTAATAAAGGTATATGCCAGTTTGCATATTTGTGTCTTTTGTGCGACATGGTGTGTTGGAGTGTGTATGCCAGAGTTGAGAAAGCGATTGGGAAGGTGTTTGCAAGGTATGGAGAATTTGTTGGTACCTATCCATGGATTTTCCTAACAGTTTCCGTACTTGTGTGTTGTTTACTGAGGATTGGACTTATCAACCTGAAATCTGAAACAGACGTAGAGAAGGTCTACACACCAATGGATAGCCAGGCCTCTAAAGACAGAAGTACGATCAGAACCCTGTTTAGCGATTACTCTGGTACGAACTTTTACTCACAGAACCTAATTGAAAGGAATCTACACGGCAGTGTGATTTTCAAAAGCAAAACCTCGTCAAATCTGCTCAGCCTCACTAATATACAGGAAATAAAGACATTTCACGATCAAATCAAAGCGAACGTGTTTGGAAATGGAATGGACTATTCACAGTTGTGTGCTGTTCGAGCTTCTCAGTGTGTTGTGGACGGGGACCTCATTTTCACAACTAAGTTTCAAGAGCTGCTTCAGAATGACAATATTACCTATCCAGTTCTTGGTACTCTTTCTATTGAATCTGTTTTTGGTGATGTGACTCTTCAGAACGGAATACTGCACTCTGCCAAATTGGTTAAGTTAGTTTTCAACTTACGGCAGGACAACCAACAGTTCACGGACAGTTCCAAATTATGGGAAAAAGACTGTGTCCTACATGAAAACCCTCCAATCACCGATATTCGATGTCGTGTATGCACATTCGTCATCTCTGGACGAGGAGCTTACAGCGAACATCCGTGGCGACATAGTATTTGTGTCGCTGACCTTCACCTTGATGATCGTGTACGCGACTTTTGTCACCTTGACCTGTGATTGCATGCTTGACAGACAAAATTTGGGCCGGGCTGGTGTCATAGCAACCGGACTAGGCATCGTAGCTTCATTTGGGCTGGTCAGTGCTTGTGGGGTGGAGTTCGTCTCCATAGTTGGGGTGATGCCTTTTCTTATATTAGGTGAGTAATTAAATTATAAATTATGGGTAATATAAAACGTATAAAGTACCGAGAAAGTTATATATGTCATGCCATAGCATGTGTAAACAAATAAAATATGTTTTACTCAAATATTTAAATAGATAAACAAATCGTATATTTCCATGCCAAGTTTGGTGTATAAGTACTTTGTTATTCCAAATAATCCGTTTATTGTGATGATTTTAGAGAAGGCTAAATTAATCAACCGTGTATTTGTGCGATAAATAGAACTTGAGATATATTTCAAGTAATACGTACCTTACGTCTCCTTGATGATCTAAATACGGAACCGTGTCATCATTACAATGATTATGCAGACATCCGTTGTCACTACAAACTTATCTCATGTAAAAGTCAAATTCATTCAGCTTATCTCTTTATATGTTGGCTCGGATGAATACATATGTTTCTATTTTTAAAGCTTTTGGTTTGAGTTTCTTAGACTGTAAGAAGATATTCATGGTCCAAAATACCACGATTAGTATTTGACTTGACGTGTCTGTGAGCAAAACACTACACTAATATCAATTTATTAGCACAACTACGTTTTTGAATCAATACTGCATAACAAATGCTATCAATACATTACAAAATACTTGTACACTGGACATTATAAAGCTGTTGATGCAAGACTAGAGGAATTACCTCCCTTTGGTCACATGTCTACTATCTTAATTTACGTGTTATATCATGATATTTATGTTACCGTTGATCGATGGAACAAACAGTAAATCAAAATAAGAAATCAAATAAGAGAATTAAATTGTTCCTATGATAGTAAGGGACAGCTGATATTTGGCAGTTTATAGCGTTATATAAATAGAGGAATACTTTCAATCTCAATTTAAATTAAGAAGATTGCGGTTTGTGAAAATTGATTAAATTCTTCATTCAGAAACTTAATAATTGGGAAACAAGAATTAAATAGGATATAATGTAGCAAGTCCCGGTTTTCCACAGTACATAATAAACATGATTTTGATGAAAAGATCTATACATTAGGGCTAACTTATCGGATAAATTGGTATACAAACACAAAATTAATGTTATATTTTCTTTACATTTTTAACAGTCAACAGCATTTTTGATTTGTATTATAAATGCATGACATGTGATATAAATATGCATATTGTGTAGTGTTTTTTTGTTTACCTAGATATTTCCATGTGTTTTATCCAGGTATCGGGATTGATGATATGTTTATACTGTTGGCCGGACTCGCAGAGGTCCCGTTACTTGCAACAACCCCAAAACAGCGCACTAGTGGAGTGTCCATAACTATCACATCCCTGACTGACATACTAGCATTCGGTGTGGGTGCCTCCTCTGTTTTCCTTGGCGTGCGGAACTTTTGCATATTTACAGGTGCGTATATTTAATAAATATACCTCGTATGGAATATTTGTTTCTGGACTGAACATTTTTTTTTGTAAAACAACATTATATGCTAGCTGATTATTTTTTGGCTCAATATAAATGTGCGAAAATAAGAGGCAAAATGACATTCTCAATAAGCTATGGACGACCTTGGTAAAAACAACATGGAGTCAGTCTATCCTGCCACCATAAATATTTTATTAAATCGTCAATATAAAGTAAGGTCAGGTATGGGGAGGTATATTTTATGTTTTAGTTTGATAACCACAATTGTTTTTCTGTACATCAGAATTTCCTATTTGATGTAAAACAGATATATCAATACGGTGTGAAAAGAAAAAAGCTAGTATGTCGTAGAGTTAGACAGTGATGTTGATAAAATAAACAAATATATCAACAATTAGTTTTGTAGTGTTCGTAACTTATAATTTTTAGTTTATTTACTTCTCTGTTGTGTACAGCACTTATCTGTTGTAGTGTTTACTATCTATGTTTTAATAGCAGACATTGAAATGATTATCGTTACAATCCCTCACAAGGATAATGATCAATCATTCAAATATGTAGAGAATGTTTAACAAAAAATGCAGTTTTGTTTGTGAATGCGTGCGTCCATGAGAACGTGCGTGTATGTCTTTCTGTTCCTTTTTCGAATTAAATTTCTCTGCGGATACATGCTTTGAAAAAAGATTCCCGATGATATATATTCACGGCAATAACGTTATTAATACTAAATGACAATACAAAACTTTCATGCATGGTGATGCGGACAACTCACAGTTCAGATTCGGAAAATGAACTTATAATGATTTTCCCTTTGTGTTTTCAATTATCTAGATGTTTAAACTAGATATTTTGACATGAATTAATGACAACGCACCTGTTTATGTCATTGCATCAGTCTTCGTTAATCTGTTGCAGGGGTTGCTGTCCTGTTTTGTTATATCAACTTCGTGACCTTCTTCATCGCCTGTATTGCGATCAACGATAGAAGGATATCAGCTAACAGACACTGTTTATGCTGCCACCCAATAGAAATGAAGAGTGACACGACAACCGCTTCCCCGTTACTTCGGTTTTGCTGTGGCGGCACTGCTCCTTCCTCCGAGATAGAAATGCATTTTTATTATGTGGAAATTTGGATTTCTTCGTAATTCTCCACAAAAATCACTGGTAGGTTTTCGACCCTACTTTTTTATTTATGCATATTAACCATATTAAACTATAAATTGAAATGAAGAGGAGATGTTAACAAACATTTCAGGCATTTTAGCATCTCTCTATCTTAATCTTTAAGGAAATTATATTACTTTTTAGTATATGAAAATTGGGATTTTTCCGCCATTTTCCACAAAAATCACTTGTAGGTTTTCGACCCTATTTTCTATTTATGCATTTTAACCATACAAACTATATATTGAAATAAAGAGGAGATGTTTACAAACATTTCTATTTTCTAAAAAGTTTTATACAATATTGGTTTGTAACGATTAATTATAGAATTAAAGTTTAATATAATTGTCCACAAAATTTGCAGGTTTTAACATTAGCAAGAGAACTAAATATTTAAAATGTAAAAGCATTTGCTAGAGATGTCTGTCATTACATATATTTATTTTAATATTTTGTGACAGATATCTCCACCCGGTGACCTACAAATGTACACCGTTTGCCCTTATTTTGGGAGGTCTATTGACAACAGATACTTACAAGCTGTTGGGAAAAAGAGGTAAATACAAAAACATATGTAATATAATGACATTTCAAAATTTTAGCAACTTATGTAATGTACCATCAGTAATAACTTTGATATCATTTGAAACAAATTTATTTCCGGAGAGCTATGAATGCTTCATTATTAAGTACACTGATATTACTCTTAAACACATAATATGTCGACAAAAACTTATACTTACCAGTTATTGGAAACGACAAAACATAAATATACATACATGAAGCAAAAAATAACATATCTGTAAAACAATGTTTCGATAAACCTCACTTCTTGACATGATTATGCCAAGGGAGATCTATACGAAACAGGTTAACTTACCACCTGTTGGAAAAGAATATGTATGCTAAACAAAAGTATTATATGTCATGATATTATTTTGTTGGTTTTATCCATATAAACTATAAAACAAACTGTAGGGATGTTCACCGTTATTCTATGCACGAGACAATTACAGAAACATATTTGTTGATGAAATTACCAGTTCTTATATGAAGACATGTGCGTTAATTTTATTCATTCTCAAAGTAAAATGATGTCTCGTTGTATACAGGACATCTGTTTCTCACCATTGAATGGAGATTCAAAAGGTGACCACCATAACTTAGAAAAAAGACAGTTTTGTAGTTTCCTCTTTTAATCATTCTCTTTATCTTGCGGGCCTTGATGTAAGGTAATGTAATACCAGATGTAAAGAACACTGTTGAATTCCCTTCATCATCAAACACTTCTAGCTCGGGTGTCACCTTTAAAATTGTTGTCAAACATGATGGGTTATAATTAAAACGTTAATCCTGTGGTGCAAATCTTCGTGATTTCGGACTGTTAAATCTCTTGAAAAGTCAATACTCTGTACAAATATGGAGACCTGCTCTAGATGCATTTGGTCGTAGATGTGTAGATAGAGATGTATCTTGCCAGCATGAGAAAAATCCACTCATTTCATCCACTTCCAACATAAACGAAATACTATTAATCCAAAAATAGCAACAAGCAATAACATACAAATCACACCAACAAAAACTACGTCTGCAGAAGGAACACATGCTGGTGCATCAAGATTTTCATATTGTTCTCCAGAATGTATCATGCCATGAATGGAAGAGTCTAATTTTGTAGATTCCACGCCTTTTGCCACTGCATTGACAGCAATAATTGCTCCAAAACCTTTCACAATAAAAATAAGTCGGATGAAAACCACCGTCCCAAAAATAAGGCTCATATTTACTACAATATCTCCAACGGAGGGACTCGAGGTTAACCAAGAGGCGTTTTCTTCACTATCCTTGATAAAGGGTTCTGCAATATTTTGAAATACTTGTTCCTGTCTTTTCGATGCTTCTACCATCTTGTTCAACTTAAGGTTAGTTTTCTGGTCAGTCGTAAGGAATTCATGATAGCGGTGTTCGAAGAAGTCAAATTTGGGTACATTAACATCCTGTGCTTTACTGAAGACAGATGATGCTGTTAGTCCAAGCTGGTTGTTTTCTGCAATGAATGCCTTTACCATCGCCAAGTTTACAAGATGATCGCGTGTCACTTCGGTTTCCTCGCCATTACAATTCTGGGAAAGCACTATGTCACTGGTCATGTCATCAGCCTGGATTCTGGCATGACATGGTATGGTAATGATACAAGGATGGCAGCCTTCGACGTCTTTGATATGGCCTCCTATATTCAGTGAGAGCCTGGGGATATCATTCACCAAAAAGCTGTTGTCCGATATCGGCTCTATGGACGGCTCCAGATGGTCATGGAAGTACCTAAAATCACAAAACTTTGCTATATCATCTGAAGAATCTTTAATGAGGGATGTAAGACAGTTTTCCTTTAAAACTGTCGTGTAAACTAAATTAAATGGACATACCACATGATGAATCCCTCTGCAGTTAGACAATTGAACAGATGTAATTGGTGAATACCTCCTACCTCCATTATCCTCAGAAATGATAACATACTCTGGAAGACCTGCTATCTTTGTTGCATGCTTACTGTTTTTCGTTGTTGGAACTGGATACACCATTACCTGGTAGAGATGTGCCTTTCGTTACAAAGGTACTACCTGAAATTTAATAGTAATCAATATTGTATTTCCTTGCAGTTGGCAAAAAAAAGAGTTATGATGACCAAAACCGTAGTCAGCAAGTACACCGTGATCTTTTGTCTTCGTCATGTCGATGATCTTGTCGTTGATCTCCTTGACGACTCTACTGATGGCTTTCTCTGAAATGAGTAAAGGTGAAATATAACCTTGTGCCAGTTGTTCAATAGCTTGCCCAATATCGCGAATGTGGTGAATGATGGAATTAGTTTTATTCATCTGAAACAATGCAATTTCAAGTAAATGTAATCTCCGGTTGATGATGTCAGTACTATTCACTTCAAAATTCCTTATCATTTTAAGAGCCTCTTGATTATCAGAAACTATCTTCTTTAACCCATTAAAACGTGAACTAGACAACTTAACAAATGACTGGAAATTCCTTTCGTGGGCAACCATGGTCTTAGCAGTAAGCCTCAATTCGTTGACATTGGAAGAAACCCTCTCAACATCTTCTACGGTTGCTGTTCCAAATATTGTTTTCGAAATCGAACCAATAAATGAGAGTGGGGCAAACCGTTTTCTTCTCTTTTGATCTGTGGAGGCATGTTTTGGGATGATAGTTCTGGTCAAGTCCAATAAATGATCAAACGCCTTTACAACCTATAAAAGGAAATAACGAGTAAGTTATATACTTTATTAAAGTAAGAAAATACTTTATTTTACCAAAAACGAAAACATAAGTTATAAGATAATTTGCTTATAAAAACTTACCTCTGCATTCAATGAAATGATAAAATTTGACATCGACATTGCTGACATACTGCATTCACTGTCACCCGGGTTTCCTGTACACTTCACTGGAGGCAAAACAGGATCTGCCATTTGGTAATGCAGCCATTTGTTTGGCAGTGTCGGCAGATCTAATGCGAATGTATGGTACCAAACGCTGGATGAACTCTGGATTGCTCCTCGTGATTTAAAAATCACGCCAGCGTTTGTCCGCTTTAGATCTTTATCCCCAGCTGCCAGTCCTATCAGGCAAAGTACTATGATGTATGATATCATCTGAAAATAGAATGTTTTGGTTTTGGTTAATGGTTGCCATGGTAAATTATCAATTTAACATTATATGATGTTTTCCGTTTCTGTTACTTGTATCTTTTATACTTCATAATAATCAACAGAATATATTAAATGACATGTTAATACCCTATGACGAAACCCACAAAGCATTTAAATAGATTAATTTGTCATGAAAATTTCGTTATAATTTGTGCTTTAAATATTTCCACTACATGTCTGTCAACCTAATACAATATTATTGGAATATTTCTTACCTTGAACACTTTTGTTTATATACGAAGATTGGATAAATTCGGAAACAGGTATGCAAATTCAAAGAAATTTCAATGCAAAAAGAGTTGTATTCGCTTTCGAACCGAAGAACGAACTGATTTGAAACTATTCTGCCCCGGATTTTATAGCAACGATAGAGTTATACTCTATTGAGAAGCGTTAATCACATGTCAACTGTCACCTGAGATAATTGTACAGGTAAGGCGACTATTTCCGACAATTTCACGCTTCAGGCGATTTCAACAGTACAACTTTCTTCAGAGAAAATCAAATATACCCTCGGGCGTATTGAACAGAAGATAAGGTGTCATCATACAGGTAAGATATGATCATCAATTCCCAGTAATGAGGTTACAGCCCTCGGGGTCTGGAAGTGGAAAAGGTCTTTAGTTTTCTTAGTAATTACTATCAAAGTTATTTCTGAAGAAATCAAGCCTATAATTGGTTCAATAGTTTC